GAAAGTTGGAGAACCGCGACTTGTTCGACATTGCTTTTTCGCAATGCCATTCGTCGACCTCAATGTGCCGTACCCGTCTCACGGCGGCGACGCCGGGGAGCTGAGGAAGATCGTTAAAACCCTGTATGAATGTGCGTTATCCGACGACGCACTTTCTTTCACTTAACGCTTAAGGCTAACTCTTTTGTTTATTCTTTTTCGTCCCCGACTTCAGTTGGCTATAACGCCGTTGCATATAACATCACCGCAACATGCAAAGATGCAAATAAGGTTCATATAGAGTTTTCGCCTGATTCAGAAGCAGCGAGCGGGGAGACCGCAAAACTTGTCAATTTTAATTTTATCTAACAAGTTGGTTATTCTGGCAGACCAATCCGATTAAACCGATAAAGCTGAGCGAGCTGGGGCTTCCAACAACACACAAAGCGGGCGGCAGCAACTCCTCCCTGCTTTCTGCGAGTGGACTCCCGGCCGACCATTTTGAACAGCTGAGCCGGCTGACCATTGTCGTGGACGACCTTGCCGCGAACTATAAAATTGTATGGAGAAGTGCGGTATTAAAAACAATGGGTGATTTTGCACTATTATGGATAGCTGTCCGACTAGCGGGCTTGCTCGTGAGCAAGCATGATGGCCAGCATGCAAAACCGGGTCTCTTTGTGTGCCCGACCGAAACATTTAACAAGTGTCTTACCTGGCGAATATCTCTTTCCATCAACAGAACTCCACTAACCCCGCCCACATGTCCTACGACCTCCTCGCCGTGCAACCCACAACCGAAAAAGTTTTCCAAGTCGCATGCGGCTCCTACGAAGTCGACATCATATCTTTGGAAATGGGCTCGCGGCTGCCTTTTTTCCTCCGACCGCCGTCCATCAACATGGCCATCTCGCGCGGGATTTATTTTGAAATCTCGTACGGCGCTGCGATTCGGGACCAGACCGCGCGGAAGCATCTTGTTAGCAACGCGGCGGCTTTGATAAGGCTTACGGGAGGGAAGAATGTGATTATCACCAGCGCCGCGGAAAAGGCGATGGAGGTTCGCGGGCCGTACGACGTTATTAATCTGTAAGCTTGGAGTGGGATTGCATTTGCGAGAAGGGTTAACCTTGCTGGGGAAATGAGAAATGCTCATGGTGCGCTCCGTTCCTCTTTTTTTTTTCAAGAGGACACATCTTTAGCATGAACCCGGACCGTGCCAAGCATGCACTGGATGCAAACTGCCGCGCGGTGCGCATGCATGCTGGTAAGTAGCGTTCTCTCGCCGACATTTACTCGAGAGAACTAATGTGGCTGACTCCAGCGGCGCTGTGACGTGCTTCCTCTCTAGCAACCAGACGGCAAACTCATCTTGGAGTCATATCAATGGAACCTTCGGGAAGCTTGCCAGCGGCTAGCAAATGGAAGGCGGACCCAGAATCTTGACACAATCCGATGTTGTAGCTAGCCAAGGAAACTTGACGCGGGAGCTCAACGAGGGTATATACTAGCAATTTTCATTATTGTCATGAGACGTAGATAACATAATCTGTATATATAATACATCTGCTCCGAAATTCGCGGTGGTAAGATTTGAGCAGCTGGGAAAAGGAGTTCAGAGCCGGGACGCGAACAAGGTTAAGCTTGTTCAGTCAAAGCTCGTTATGCTCCTGGTCAAGGCCGTTTGCCAACGCAAGCACAATCTGGTCAAGCACTACCGCGCCAACGCGACGCATTCACATGTGTTACAAAGCCTGATGCAGATTGGTTGGTACCCTCAACGAACCAGCAGAGGTCAGCGCACGACCCAAGTGTCAGCTACGACATGCGTCGCGGTGTAAGCGCTACGTGCCTGTCGCGTCACCCAGCTACACCGCGTCGACTTTGAAGAGTGATCTGCTAACCTGAGCCTGTGGATGGTAAGTCCGAGGCATTTATGCTTGCGACTGGACGCATACCGCAACCACTTGGGCGTTGTCATCCATCACCGTTCTCGCGGCGTTTTTTAGGAATGGTTGCCAGAACTTGTCCTGGGCGGTCAACACAGCGCGGGACATTTTGCCGTTTGCTGAGCAAAACGAAAAGTTAAGCCTACTGTTGCTTACTGAACAAAGCATACCCCAAAAATATCCTCACCATTGGCATGGGCAGTTAGTCGCTCCAAGCGGCCATGGACGAAGTGCGGTGTGGCAGGCTTCATGGTGCCAGCCTCGGGGTGCGCAAAAACTGAAGGTGCGGCGGCGGGCTCATCCACGGGGGGGGGGGGGGAGGGGACATCCTCCGGAGGAGGGGGCAGCGCACCAAATTGCTGCTGGCAAAGTTGCCAGAACGTGGCCTTGGTCTGGCATTCAGAGAAAACGGTAAGATCCGCCGTAATTGCCGCTTGGATTTTCGCCAACGTGTCCAGATCAAAGTTCGGCTTGTTAGGGTCGTCAGCCTTGACCCACAGGTCCAGCTGATAGCGGCGCGCAATGGTGGGAATCATGACCGCCTTGACATGATCTTCGGTCGGCCTCGTTTTGTTATGCTCGTTGTAGAACTTCTCGAGTTCTGTGAGGTACGAAAGCTGACAAAACAGGTGAGCCTGATCGACCCGAATCTTTGTGCTTGCGTTCCCCACCATCCACTCACATAAGCTTCCTCCATCTGCTTTTTGTCGGGGCCCATGAAGCCCTGGGGCAGCGGCTTCATCACCGCCGCGCGCGCATACGCCAGGTTCAGGGTGACGGCGGGTGGCGTGAGTTTCGGGAGAGTGTGCAGCTTCGCCATTGCAGGGTCTCCAAAAGACATCACGCTGCGCAAGTGGCCAATTGATGCGGGCGAGGCACTAGCAGAGGGTCTGTAGTTTTAGCTGGCTGCAAAGACAGGGAGTCCAAAACTTGCACCTATCTTGTCCTTTTGCCATTGGTCGACTTCGGCGTCGAGGTAATCTAGGCCGTGAAGGTGTCTGCACATCCACAGCCTGGATTACCTCGACGGCATCGAGACGACTTCGCCACGCGCGCGGTCGACGTACGAGACTGCGAGAGACCCCAGGCTGCTTGAAAAGCGCACACTTCCTGTGCGCCGCTGGAGACTTTTGCTTTCAGGCTCTTACGCACGTTTTCGACATCGTCGATTGCGGCGTTGATCACCGCATCCGGGCCACTGCGTTCGGTGAGGTCACCGAAAAACCGAACCGCAAAAAGGGCCCCGCGGGTTTGCACGCGGCTCTCCAACTCAAGCCGCAAACGGGCGTCGCTCTGATAGACCGAGCGGTGGAGGCTTGCCAGCATGGGCCGCAGGTCCCTGAGGCCTTCAGTCGCACTGGGCACAAAGACCCAAAGCCCCCCACCTCGGTCCATAAGTTCGTTGGCGGGTGCGCCTACCAGAGCGCCGGCTGCAGCCACCGCTGTTCGTTGGGCCCGACACCGGCAGTGCGGACCAGTTCCGCAAATGCAGGATTGGCCTGCAGGATTGGCTTGCAGCTCGTTGAGTTTGATCCCCAGAGTCGTGCGTGGTGCGAGTCCTGTCTCCGTGTCCTAAACGGAAATCCCAGAAGCCGCAGCCAGCTCCAGCAATAGGCTTATCCGGTCTGCTCGCCCTTACCGATCAGTGAGCCTACTGCTGGAGTTGGCCAGCTTGCCTTACGGTCGGGTTTGGGCAGCGGTAAAACGCATTTAGTAAGGTAGCCCGTCCGGTCGCCTAGACATCCCGATCCCCAAACTTGAGAAACTAGGAACATCTGCGTGATGCGAGACGTGGGAAGAACGTAATGCCGCAATCGGCGTGTAAAGCTCTTCTTCGCATTCCTCGCTGTCTCGACACGAACAGCAGGCTCCTCAAAGCAGAGCTAAAAGTGGTCACCTCGCTGAGTGGCGGCCACCTTTGCAGACACGGCACTGAAAGGAAAATCCGTCCCAGATTTTGTGCGCGCAGCGACGTAGTACGGCAGCGGACTTACGCGAGAATAGCAGGATGCCCGGCATTGTGCACTGAAACGATTCCGGTCGGCATTGACAGAAGTTCTTCGAGCAAAAGACCATTAGCATGAAGTCTTCGTCCAAGATCGCCACTTCATCGATCTCTGCCTGGTCTGCCACCGTCCGGAGAGGCATCCAGGACCACCGTACTGCACGGCGAACCGGCCTCCCCGTCCTTGGATCCACCGCCGCCCGGAGAAGAGTAAAGCTATTGCTGAAAGTGGACCAGCTTGCCATAAGGTCGGGTTTGACAGCGGTGGATCGCTATCTCGAACAATCCGCCATACAGCCGTCAACGTGGCTTTGACGCTGGCCGCCGTAACGCGCAGCAGTTGCGACAGCTTCCAAGCCACTCGATTGGCGCGGCCTACAAGAGAGCGTGTAGAATGCAGCAAAATGGGGTTGCCGTCACCTCAAATTTCTCTTTCACAACCTTGACGTTTACGGCAGCCAACTCGTGCCGAATCAAGAGAGCCCTCCAGCGCGGTTGGCGGAGACAAGCGAGATGCCAGGGATGGCGCGCGAGCCTATGGCGGAGGTGCAGAGCTGTTTCGCGATGATTGGGGTGAAGACGAAGTGGCGGTGGGAAGAGGAGGAGGACAGCGGAAACGCGCAGCGACCAACGGGGGGAAGGATTGCGCTTCCGGTCTGTTCCGAATCAGCCCCGTGAGGCTGACAGCTATGATTGTATCTGTCCTCCTCCATGCCTACTAACCGGAGTGTGATTTTGCGTGCTTGATCAAAAAGCGCTGAGTACATGCAGTCAGAACAATGCGAGACAAATGCAATACCGGCTCACTATTAACCGCTTAGCGCAAGACACCTAGCGACCCCATCTTTGGAAAGACAGTGGCCAAGCGCAAGGGGTGGTAACGGCATCACCCAGTGTCGTTAAAGGTGCGGCGTTGCATCGGTGCTGAGTCGAAACCTCCGCCAATAATTGCACAAAAGCACATCATCGGGCCTTGATAAAGTTGAAGAAGGTTTGCAACCATTCCCTGGGAGCGGCGGAAGACAGCCAGAGAACGGAATTATGCACGCACGGCGACGTAGTCAACGCTCACCTTAGTATAGTGGCAGTACATTGCCTTGTGGCGGCACTGACGCCAGTTCGATTCTGGCAGGTGACACTGAATCCGCGCTGGCTGCTTGCTGGCTTTGTTTGCTTTTTTGCCATGTTCCGATGTCGGCGACGAGCAAGAGCGCGAAGTAAGAATTGCCTGTGTTTTGCTGTGTGACTCATCCGGCGCGTCCGTGTTGTTCTTTTCTTGATGCTGCGCTCAACACAGCGCGACGCGTCGGCTGGCTCCTCGTTTCCCTACTAGCAAGACCTGTCCAAAAAATACACCATGAAGGTAATAACACAGCACCCACCCTCTTTGAGATCTGCCAACTGCCAAGAGAGATTCCCTCGTACTGAACGGCATCTATTCAGAGCGTCTTTTCAATCCCGGCCGCGCAACTCGGTCACGGCGCCGCGCGCTTTGACTGGCAGAAAAAGAGCTCGTCGTTTCTGGCAGCAGTTGGGTGAGTTTCGCGATTTCTCTTCCCCCCGGTCGTCAGCGTGTGAGTATGGTTGTATTGAGACTGTGTTTTGAAGCGGAGAATAAATTACTATGGGTTTGAGCAAAATCCGGCTATGGGACTGAGGCAAAGGGAGTTAATGCTTGCCGTGTATGTTTTCTTAATGTTTTTATATCAGAACGGCAAACGTGGTCCATGTATACGATCGACATGGCGAAAGCGTTGACAGCTTTCCGCTTACGGGGTGAGTGAACAGGGGGCACGAAAATCAGTATGCGAACGATAGACTTTGCTTCCTGGTATTCACCCTTACCGCTGCTGTTGATTCAGCGAATGCACCGGCCTGGAATGGTCTCCGGACGGCAATGTGCTAGCCGTAATCCAAACCAAATCCGGAGTCGTCGTCTTTTGGTCCGCCGCGACACGGCGCGTGGATGAACATCTCGACTCGGGCATGAAACATTTACATTTTCTCCGATGGTCGCCCAAGGGTGACTTTGTAAGTTGCTCCGGAGCGTTACAAACAGACAGACGCTTTTGGCGAGTCTTTTCCTCACTCGCAAGTTCTCCCCTTCTAGCTGGCGGTTGGTACACAAAAGGGCAACCTGTTTCTATACGACCGGAAAGAGGCCAAAAAGACGCCTGTGCTAGGCAAACATAGCAAAGCGATTGTTACGGGCTGCTGGAGCTGGGACAATATCCTGGCATGCGGCTCTGACGACAAAACGGTAAAAAGCATAGAGGCCAGATGGTCGGAGGTTAGCCGTACTTTTCCCTAACGGGGCGCATTTCTGCCTGCTACAGTTTACACTGTCGAATACGACCGGAGACACCATCATTTCAATGTCTCTCTCTGGCGAACCATCTTTGATGCAGGTCCGCGAGAGTGTGTCTCTTATCATTCAAAAGTGTGCCTTATCGGCTGACCCGTCCATCTATCTAATTTCCGCTCAAAAGTGGGCAAACATGAAAAACGCGCACGGCGTGCTCGATCCAGTTCTTTCCGTCATCCTTTCCGGCAAATCCCTGTTTATTTACAATATCAACCACCCGGAAGCGCCCGTAGAACTCGCATTCCAACCCAAATACGGCAACGTCGCGTCCTACCAATGGTTTGCTGAGGGCTACGTCTTGGTTGGGTTTTCGACCGGATACATGATTGTCATGTCAACAAGTAAAGACTCCACCGCGCCAGAGGGGCCTTTTTTTCGCTATTTGGTAGGAGCAAGCTGACGTTGGCTTTGTTTTTCTTTACCGCTCAGACCCAAATGACCTCGGCCACGAAATCTTTTCAACAAAGAACCACAAGGGGTTTCTGAGCAACGTGGCAGTCTCAAACGTGCTCAGCAAAGCTGCGTCGTGCGGCGACAGCACAATAAAAGTCCACGAGCTGTCGGATCTAAGAGACGTGTACGCGGTCGAGACCATCGACGATGTTAGCCCTGTGGACAGGCTGCAATGGTCTGATGACGGCCAGTTTTTGACAGTCAGCACCAAAGAGTGAGTTTTTCTGAGTTTATGGTGTGTGTGTGTGTGTGCGTGTGTCAGTTCGGCCGCTTTATCGAACGAGGAAACTTAACACCTTATATATTTGTTGCGAAACACAGTGGTTCTCTCTACTCGTATCTCGCCCGTATGCCGCTTTTGGGCAGCACGTATGCAAGTCTAGTGGTACGATTGAGTCGTCCGTGTCGAGGAGCTACTGTACTTCCGGTTTAGTGCGAACTGATGGAACATCCCTCCTCGTCCCGCAGGCATATCTCTCAGGCCTCCGCGAGATAACAATCCAAGATCAATCCGCAGACGATGGGGCACACCCAGCGTTGATCCGAAAAGCATTGGACTTTGAGCCAACGCTGGTGGCCCTTGGCGAAACGCACGTGAGTTTTGGGAGCTGCACGACCAGGGAACCCTCCGGATCCGAGTCATGTTGGCTTTTCGATAGCGACACGCGTTTTCTGACAGGTCGCGACTGTCGCGACTTTTTTTTTCCTTTCCTATTGCTATTTATTTTTTCTTTTTTTAAGATTGGGGTGGTTGTAAAAAACAGTGCAAGCTTTCACCGCTTCACGTTGCCGACCGCAGACGGGACTAGCGTCGCAACAAACGACTCGGTGGTTACCACGAAGGTGAGGGCGCGGGCCAATCTGCCGTCAGATCTTGCCTACCCCCCGGCACACGTTTCTAAGCCCGACCGATGTTTCCCATCTAGGACTACGCCGACCCAATCAAATCTCTCTGCATGAACGCATATTTCGCAGCCGCCGTGTTCGAATCCGGCCTACTACAAATCCACGCAATCGGCGACGCAGCACTTAACGGCGGCGCCCCACCCGTAACAACATCCCGCAGCAGCCTACGCGACATCACCAACGCCGCACGCGGGGGCGGCGCCGGCATTGCCCCTACACCACGCAGCAAAGGCGACACCACCCCGGCCGCCGACGCGCTCGAAAAACAATTCCCTGAACACGGCAACGAAGGGCGCACCAAAACCAATAAAGTCGAAATCACCTGCGCGGCACTTTCCCCCGAATGCATCATCTTTGGCACCGCCCGTGGCGGAATCCAATACTACCTCCTGGAGAGCTGGACGCTCGTCGCAGAACTCAAACACAAACACCGGATCCAATCGCTGTACCCACAAACCCGGGGCGGGACCAAACTCGTCTTTATCGACGCGCAAAACGACGGGTTCCTAACCGACCCGTCCTCAAACACCGTTATGGCTATACCACGCTGGTCAGCAAACACCCGCGGGGTGCTTTGGGAAACAGACCCAGCACTAGGCAGGTCGATTTTCAGCAGCTATGACGACGCGTTTATCACGACGTATGTGTTTCAGCCGTTCACAGTCAAGGGACCTGTGTGTATGGCGTTGGGAAATACAAAGTTGCCGTTTGGGCAGAAACCGGTGTTGGTCATCAACGGCGTCGTAACGTGTCAGACGCTTGCGGGGCGGTTGACGACGACACGGTTGGTACCGTATGAGGCGCCGCTGCCTGATGCGTTTTTGAAGGATAAGCGGGATGAGCAGGAACAAGGCAAGGGCTTACAGCTGTACTACATGCTGGGGATGATGAAGAGTAGGTTGTCCAAAAAGACTACCATTCACCCCTTGACATTGGTTTATATTGACGAACCCGCGCTACTTGGTTTCAACAGACATTTGGGCCCTGGTTGGAACGGTGAAATCCTCGAAGGCATGGGTTATGCTAGCCGAGTCTGCGCTCCGCATGCTGGATCTGCCCACAGCCAAGCGGATTTACCGACAGGTGCTTCAAGACGCTGGCATGGTGTGGTCGCTGGACCGTCTCGACACGGTCGAGGAGAAGAACCTTTTGGCCGGCCACATCTCGGCGCTCTTCGGCGATGTCTCTGTAGCTCAGGTGAGAAAAGCTGGAAACAAAAAGAGTATTGCGCGCTGGAGATTTTTAACTGTATTTTTCCTCCCAAAGGACTACTTTCTCAAAAGCACATACCCAAAAGCCGCACTCGACCTCCGCCGCAACCTCAAACACTGGGAACAAGCCCTCGGCCTCGCCACAACCCTCGCACCCGAACACATCACCCTGATCGCCAAAGAATACGCGCAACAGCTCGAGATGAACGGGCAGCATGCCGAGGCGCTCGCAATGTACGAAAAGGCGCTAGCGACGTGCGACGAGCAGCTTCTTCCCAACGGCGTCGGCGTCGCATTGCCGCCCCAGGCGACGCGCGACGACCATCGGATTGTGTGCAGTGTTGGGTTGGCGCGCATGACGCTGAGGATGGGGGATGTGTCAAGGGGCATGAAGATGCTGGCGGGGACGACGGATAAGCAGCTGTTGCAGGAGTGTGGTGCAATATTGGAGGCGTTGAGGCAGTACCCCGAGTCGGCGACTTGCTACGAGCGAGGCGGATTTTGGGAAAAGGCAGCAGACGTCTGGATCAAAGGTAAACGAGTAACATTGCTAGTCTTGCGCTGCCGGCGGTGCAAAGGCTCCAAATCTCACATATTATTTAATGCTTCCTGCACAGTGAAAAACTGGAACAAGCTCAGCAGCATCCTCGACCGCGTCACATCCCCCAAACTCTTTATCCAATATGCCAAAGCCCGCGAGGAAAGCGCCGACTACACCGAAGCCGCGCGCGCATACGAAAAAGCCAAAGACTACGACAACGTCGTCCGCCTCTTTATCGACCACCTACAGAACATCGACGGCGCAGTCGCGATCGTCCGCAAAACACGGTCACGCGAGTCGGCAAAACTCGTCGCAAAGGTTTTTCAGTCAATGCGGGATTACCGCTCCGTGGTGGAGTTTTATCTTATGGCGGGGATGCGCGAAGAGGCGTTTGAGCTCGCACAGCAGCGTGACGTGATGGAGCAGTTTGCCGACTTGGTAAAAGACGACGCGACACCCGACGAACTGCTCAATATTGCCGCGTACCTCGAAAACAAAAACCAGCATCTCCTCGCGGGGCAGTACCTCCTCCAAGCAGGAGAATACCCACGCGCGCTCCGCATGTTTTTACAAAGCGCGTCCGAACCAGGCGCAATAGACAACGCAATCGAAACTGTCGGAATCGCAAAATCCGACGCACTCACCCACCAACTCATCGATTT